AAATCAATAAAAACACATTAAAAAATAAATAAAATAAACCAAGCTTCTCTTACTTCACTGCAAATCCATCTCCCCCAAATACCTGAACACCAGAATATGATTAAAATGAGAAAAGTGAGGTATTAGATTTTTATCTTGAACCTATAAATTGTTACTCTTTATAGATTTTCATTGCAGACACATTATACTGTTGAATGTTATGAATTCAGAGTATTACTGTTTATTTTAAACACAACCATAGAAGAGGAAGATAAAGGAACAGATCCATTTTAAAATTGAAACAGTATAGTGCCCACCTCCCTGAATCAGCACTCAGCATCATTTTATCATTTTATCATTCTTGGCTCAGTTCAAACTTCTCTTGTGTCTGTGATTTTTTTCTTTGATGTCTCCCATAGTGCTGCTTAACCGTGTCTTTGTAAAACCCATTCTGACCATTTCATTTCAGTTCTTGGAGAAGCTGAATATCTCCTCTTGGGAGAACCAGGACATGTAGCGCTAAGCAACACCACAGTGTCTGTGGCTTTCCAGTATTTTGATGGTGCTAATGGGACCCTGAGGAATGTATCTGTGCTGTTGCTGGAGGCTAACACCAATCAGACTGTGACCACCAAATACCTCCTGACCAACCAGTCCCAGGGGACACTTGAGTTTGAATGCTTCTACTTCAAGGAGGCTGGCGACTACTGGTTCACGATGACTCAGGGAGTGACAGACAGCAGCACTCCAGTTCCCTGGTGGGAGAAAAGTGCCTTTCTGAAGGTGGAATGGCCCGTCTTTCAGGTTGATCTGAATAGGACATCCGAAGCAGCAGAAGGCACCTTCCAGGTGGGCCTTTTCACCAATCAACCACTATGCCTGTTCCCTGTGGACAAGCCTGACATCTTGGTGGATGTCATCTTCACCAACAGTCTTCCTGAGGCAAGAACAAGTCAGGAACAACCACTGGAGATAAAAACCAGCAAGAGGACAGAACTCTCTCAAGGTCAATGGGTTGAGTTTGGCTGTGCACCTGTGGGGCCAGAAGCCTATGTCACCGTGGTGCTGAAGTTGTTTGGCCGAGACTCAGTCATTACCTCCATAGGACCGATTGACCTGGCCCAGAAATTTGGATACAAATTGGTGATGGTGCCAGAACTCACATGTGCATCCCAGGTGGAGGTGATGGTGCTGCCCCCACCATGCATCTTTGTCCAAGGAGTGATTGCTGTCTTCAAGGAGGCCCCCAGACGTCCTGGGGAAAAGACCATTCGCCTGGCTGAAAACAGACTGACTTTGGGACAGAGGAGAACAGTGTTCAATTGCACTTTGTTCGACATGGGGAGGAATAAATACTGCTTTGACTTGGGCATTTCAAGCAGAAGCCAGTTTTCCACAAAGGAGAAGGAGTGCATGCTAATTCAGAGAAATATAGGTTGGTATTGAGATTTAAATTTTTGAAAATCAAATTAATGCCTTTATGCAGTCAAAATTACTATTTTGATTTTAGGTGAACTTAATTTTCTGTGAACTATATCGTCACTTTTATGGATCACTCCTCATAATGGCACTAATAAACATTAGCATTATT